CGATCGTTCATTTTAACATCCAAGCTTTCCCATTGGTCGACTCAAAATAATACCTGCAGCTGCGGCTGTGGCGTAATCATGTGACCCGTAAAATCGGTGGTCGCCCTGGTCGTGTTCAAATTTACCAAGTTACCAAAAACGAAAACAATATTGTATACGTAATCACGATATTTATAGAGGCTTGGCGCGGCGATTACCATGAGGCTTAGTAAATACTTATGATCGATCATATATGAGCCACAGGATGAATCTAAAGAAACAATGATTGCCTTTGTACGTTATTTATAGATATTTTAGGATGTTAATCAGTTCCAGCCTTCACAAAAACAATGAAACATCATAAGATGGAAGCCTCGCTGGCCATAAATGTACGCCTGTTTTTTGTACACTGTTTCAATTGTGGATTAAGAACTATCCGATAAATTTTTGGTAATAAGATTTTTTCAAAAAATTAGCGCCAAGAAAATAAGCAGGTAGTCAATCATGAACTATATAAGTCGGTTGCCACAAAAATGAATGCAGTCACACTCTAACCATCCTGGCAGAGAATTTTGACTTTACACACTTTTAAACAAGTACGCATGTATGTAAGGAGGTACGTACGTATGTACTTATATTATATTTCAACAATGGTCGTCTTTAAGTTCTCAATGTCTTTCTTGTAGAACCTATTCTATATTATTAAGCTAAAGGTGAGAGTATTTACTCATTATGGGTGGAGTATTTATTGTTGTATCACCTAGTGTATGTACAGATTTAAACATCGGCTGACGTTCACTCTTTCCTGCAACCACTCAATGATATCATAACTTTGTGTGATAAATATTAATTGCTAAATAAATAGTTTTAGTTGAAATTTTGTCCTACACCGACCAATTTATTTTTTCTTTTACGTAGCCGTAAAATCTGACGTCGCAGATTTTTTATGATATCAACCGGCTAAAAGGTAATTGCTTTCATGAGCAATCGACATTTTTTTTAATTGATTTTTTTTTAATACATTTATTAATTTAATTTTTTTTTGTTTTTAAAAATATATATATATATATATAGATCTTAATTCATATTTTATGTTTTAAAGATGCTATCACTCAAATTACTTATTTTAATATGTTTAATATTTTTGGGATGCTCGGCCGTTCTCGGTCAGAACAATACAAATAATAATAACACTTGTGGAAGCCCAATCAATGATCCTTGTCTCATGGCTAATAGATCATTGAGCATTTGTAGCGGGACACTTACGATACCGAAAAACACCCAAAATACTTCTACAATTTTGTCAGTAACTGGTTAGTGCAAGTTTTTTTGTTTATTTTCGTTACATAAATAATAATTCAATAAATAATTTACCGATCGTTTATTTGTTTTCAAGACAAAAGATTGGCGCGTTGTCAATGCAATATGCAATATTACCAAAATCTTACAAAATGCTTAGATTGTTATCGTGCTAATGACATTGGGAACGTTTCGGTTGCTAACGTGAATAATTATAAATCAGCATGTTCTTCATTGGGTGTGTCGTTCACTGATGCTAGGTTTGGTTGAATATTATCTTTATACCATTATTTTTGTTCTCAAAATTTTCATCAATTTTTTTTTTTATAGTCCAACTATAGAACCAGATTCAACTGCAAGTACTGCGAAAAAAGTTCTTATTGGAGTTATTGTAGGTTTAGTTGGTTTGATGCTGATAGGTGTGGGTGGTTGGTTATATTGGCGTAAAAGCAAAAATCATCCAAGATTAGATAATGAACCTCCCCCTCCTGATCTGGATCCTAGTCAATATGACGCTCCTGCACCTACCTCTCCGACTGATGCAAACACAGAAGTTGTTCAACCTACTTTGCCCACTGTACCTCCATATGGTAGTAGTCAACCTGAACAATACTTTGGTAGTGGTGTACCCCCTTCTCCTCCTCCTGACCGATACGGCCAATACAGTCAATACTATACTAGTCAACCATCATCTCCTCCACCAGGGCAACAAACCTCATATGGAGGCGTTCCTCCAAGAACTTCATCTCCACCACAAAGTCAACATCCATCATATTATAGTGTTAGTAGTTCTCAACCAATTTTACCTCAATCTTCGGGTGATGATGTGTCAGGTCGTTACTCACAGCAATATTCTTCTGGACAATTTGGTGGAATACCTGAACAGGAACAAACTACTATGCCATTACCAGTACCAACTCCAGCCGAATATCAACAACATAGTTATCCAATTCAATACCAGCAAGGTTATCCACCACCTCAACAAGGTTATCAAGGTTATTCTCCACAGGGTTATCCTCAACAAGGTTATCCTTCACAGGGTTATCCTCAACAAGGTTATCATCCACAAGGTTATCATCCACAAGGTTATCATCCACAAGGTTACCCACAAGGTTACCCACAAGGTTACCCACAAGATTACCCACAAGGCTATCCCTCACGTGATCCACAAAGTTACCCTCTACAACGTGATTCACAAGGTTTTCCTCCACAAGATCACCCACAACGTCAAAACAATTCTGGCAATCAATAAATTTTA